TGGGGGCTGCCTACGGAATGGCTGGGGGCCTGGGACCACTGCCAGGCTTACCCACACAGTCCCCTCCTCCAAACCCTCCACATCCTCAGTGACATGCATCTGGGCTCCCAGTCCTGAGTGGGCACCCAGCCCAACCTGACAGCAGATGGGTGGTCCCTTCTGTAAACACAGTTAAGACATTGACCCAGTATCTCAGTATCTCAAACCAGCCTCTGCCACAGGGGGTTGCGCTGGGAATAGGCACACCTGGGCCTTTAGGGCAGATGGACTGGGGGGCTCACAGTGCATGTGCTACCTGGGCTGGGGCACAGCCCAGCTTAGGTATTTCTGAGCTCTCCTGGGCCAGGGAAGAGGTGGACAGTAGGCCCTCTCCTGTGCATGGCCGGACTCCCTAATCTCCAGTGGGCCTCTGTGGCTCCTGGACTAAGAGCTATGGGTGAACTGGTCATGGGGCAACCACTGGGGCTGCCTGGGGACCTTGTCAGTGCTGCCTTGCAGCCAGCTGGTTGTAGGCCTGACTTGGCTGGGCTCTCAGCCCAGCTGGTTATGGGGAGCCGGCCAGTGAGTGTAGCCCTGAGGACTGCCTGGGGGAGGAGGACAGAGGTGTTTCTGCTCCTGAAGCACACTGGCCTGGCTGCTTGCTGGGATCCGCTTGGGGGAGCTAGGTCCAGGGAGCTGACCTGCTCGGGGATTGGAGAGACGTGAGCCTGGAGGCTGTGAGTCAGCACTGCAGCGTGTCCAGCCTAGGGCACTGCCTGGGGGCCCTGGGAGCTGGTGCTACTGCCTGGCTGTACAGGTAGAGGGAACATGGCATCCTGGGGGAGGACTGTTTCTGCCAGCTTCACCTCTGTGAGCATGAAAGATGCGATGCTTTCATGCCACCAGCTTGGGCAGTGGTAGCAGCTTCAGTCAACACAGGAAGACACAAGGACCAGAAATTCAGACCAACATGACTTTCCATCCTGCCCTACTGCTCACCTGCTGTGTGACTTTTAGCCAGATCTTAACCTCCCTGAGCCTCAGCCACATCGTCTGTAAACTGCAGGTGGCAAAACCTACCTTATAAGTGTTGAGCATGATAGAGCCAGCGCACCTCGAGTGACGCTCTCAGCTTGGTATCCTTTCTTTTGCCTTGGTTTCAGCTACCAAGTGAATCACGATCTCATTTTACCGATGTGGAAACTGAGGCTCCAGAAGGTGAAGTTACCTTCCCAAGGTCACACAGTGGTCTGAATGGTGGGAAGGTTAACCAAGAGAATTGAGGATCAGGATTGAAAAGATCCTGTGGGCTAGTGGGATGGGCTGCCTCCCCCCAGAGGAAACTCAAGAGTAGAGGGGCACAGGGAGTTACGGCTACACGCGTGAGAGAGACCGAGGGGGAGGTGATTGCTGGAGAGACTAACTGTAAGAGGGTTAGGACAAGAGCCATGGAAGGTCCTTCCTTTTTTTTTTTTTGACTTGGTTTATTGAAACTAGTCAATTTTAAGATTCATCAAATCAATAAAAGTAAAGAAAAGAAAGATAAATAATAAAACATGGTCTGGAACTCCAGGAAAGGGCTAGAAATCAGACATTCCTTAGTCCTAGAGCTGGCCAGTGACATCCAGGTGAGAGAACCCGTGGTCTGGGCCCTGTGGTCGGCCACCCCCGATCTACGTGGCCCCTTGGTGGTCTCCACTTAGCTGCAGTGGGGCTAATGTGGGTGTTCACCCTATCGTTGGTGGCTCTGTCCCCTCCCCAGGCAGATGAGCGCAGGGTGACAGAAAGAGGCTGAGAGCAGCTCCTCGTTCTCTCATGGGGGGGTAGATGCCCCAGGACCCCACAGATCCTGAGAACACACCACCTAGAGCTGAGGTGACTTCCATTTGGGGCATTAGGAAGGATGTGTCCAGATAAGCCACGTGAGAGAGGTTGAGAGGCCTGAGACTATCGTGGAAGAGAGAGGAGGAAACGGAGGGGAGGGGATGCTGGGGACCCTGATGGGGGTCAGATTTCGTGACTCCCTGGGAGGCCAGTTTCAGCTCTTAAGAGAGAAGCGCTTTGTAGGAGCATCGCCGGTTAACTGGGGTCATGGATGCCCAGGGGGTTGGGAGCTCCCTTGACTGCCTGTGGCCAAGAAGAGAGCTGCACACTTAGTGGGGTGCTGTGGGACACCGCTTGGCCTCACCTTTCCTTTCTTGGGGGCAGAATCCGGCCGTGCTATCCTTGAATGTCTCCTTCCTGGTCCACGCCCTTGGGGCCAGCCTGGTGACTCGGGTATCTTCTGGGGACACCTTCGCCCAGGCCCACGTCCGCACAGCCTGTGGCCGCCATGCCCATCTGGACACCAGCCTCCAGCATGCGTGGCCCCCACTTCAGGCACTGGGGGTTCCCCCTAACAACCACATCCGAATGTCTGTTGGGGGAGACGACCCCCCCAGGGCTCAGCTGGAGGTGGCCCTGGGCCCCTGTACCCTGACCACCCATGGGGATGTCAGGACAAAGACCAATACCACACACACCAACTGGACCCTGTCTCTGGTGAATTGCTGCCCCCGGCTGGAGGTAAGCCCCTTCCCCACCAGTCAATGCTCTCCACAAGCTATTAACTGCCTACTGTATGCCCAGCTCTGCTCTTGGCATGAGAAACTTTTGTTTTTTTTTTTTTTTTTTTTTTTTTTTTACTATTGTCACTTGAATTGGGGAACTCATTGACTTCAAAGCTTTGAGCCAAAAATGGAACCTGAACTGAATTTTCTCCCCTTTCACAAAGGGCCCTCCTGAGATACTGGTTCCCTCCCTTTCTGGGGCTCAAGTTGATGGTTTCTCACGACCTCCCTTAGCCCATTCCTGGGGCTAAGGACTCAGGAGCAGGAATGAGCACAGTGAAGCAGAGCTGACATTTTTTGGGCACATGGACTGAGTGTTCTCTGAGGCTTCACAGACATGCTCCTTAAATCCTCCGCCCCAGGAGGAAGGGGCTGCTTCTACCCCTAGTCCCTGGTGATGCACTGGAGCCCAGAGAGGTGGGGGGACCCTCTCATTCCCATCTCGGGCTGGTGCCCCTATGTGGGGTGTGTCTTGGGCCCCAGTGGAGTGAGTAGCCTGGGGTCTCCGCCATCCAGCCGACGAACACTAATGTAAATGACCTATTTCCAAGAATCAGTGCTTCCTGGGTGCCTGGCTCTGGGCTCACAAGTCACACATATTATGTTATTTACCTCTCCCAGCAACTTAGGAGTCCACTTCCATTTTGGAGATGGGTAAACTGAGGTCACAGGTTTAGAAAGACAGAGTCAGTGGTGGAGCCCGAACTTGAGCCCACATCTCTCAATGGTGTACTTTGCAGAGGGAGGTGCTGGGAGAGTTCAGGTCATGGGGCCAATGCTGCCCTCTTTCCACCTTGGCCCATCTCCATCTTTCTGACTTTGGCTTCTAAAGCTGTGCCTAAATCCAGCCATTTTCCCCACATTCCAGGCAACAGGAATCCCGCAGGCCCTGCACTCTGAGGGCAGCCTGACCTGGGGCCCCTGCAAGTTTGACCTGGCTACAGACCTCCACAGTGACCATGGAGACGCCCACCTGCAGCTGGCCCACACCTGCGGGCCCCAGACCTCGGTCCTCGGGCGCCTGACACACTCCCTGCCCCTGCTGGACCGCCTGGGCCTGCCACCCCGGAGCACCATCAGCCTGACTGCCCAGCCCGGCCCTGCCACCCACAGCTCCCTGGACCTCCAGCTGGGGCCGTGCCAGCTGCAGGGCGCCCTGGAGCAGCGCACTGGGGACCAAAGCACATGGATGCTGGCCACCCAGCCAGGCTGCCCGCTGCTGGAGGTGCGTCTGGCAAGCCAGCAGGGTGACCAGTGAGGCAGCTTCCAGAACCCCTGTGTGAGGCCTGAGCCTGGCTGGCATCTCCCTCCAGGGGCTTCCCAAGATCCCAGCTACTATTTCCCAAATGCCCTCCTGGATACTTGGCCCCTATTTTCTGTAATCCCATGTTCCCATTTGGCAGATGAGAACATTGAGGCTGGGAGAGATTAGAGGCATGCAGCGCAGTGAAACTCAAGGACCACAGATTTGGAATTTATGAGTCTTATCCTTTTAGTAAAATTGTGAGAGCAGGAAGGAGACAAGGGAAGCTCTCGTCAGCTGACAGTGGGGAACAGTCACATCTTGGTTTCATAACCCGTTAAAAACCACAGGCTGGGTTTTATCTGGGCTGAGAGATGATGTGAGAACTGTCCTGTGATGTTTGGGGGCGGGGAATCTGTAACTCTCAGGAAAGGGGGACGCTGGAGTCTGGTCAGCAGTCAGGACTGGTGCCCTTGTCTCAGTGGGACAGGCCACCCCCCTGTCTCCTGACAGAGCTTCCTGGGCACAGGGACAGTCCGGTCCACTCAGCACCCCCGAGCATAGGGCTGAGCCCTGTCAGCAGTAAGCAGGCCGCCCCAGGATCAGGCCGTGACGGAGGAGAGCGTCCCAGGATAAAGCGAGCCAGCCCACTAGGACTTCTTATGATGATGAAAATATTCTGTGTTTTGCTCTCTGGGACAGTAGC